ATTAAAAAAAAGGAAAATTTAACCCAGAAATTCTTAAAAAGTTAATCAACTCTTGAGATCCATAAAAAATGAAATAAATCACAGTTTGCATTAATTTTTTCTATTTTCATTGAATCAAATGTAATATTTCTTGTAATCCTTTGAGAGATGAAGCTTTGTCAGTCATTATTGTTTGCTATTATTTCTTCTATCTCTTAATTTCTTTTCTTCAGACTCAAATTTTTTCTGGGTACTATTAAGATAAAAGAAATGCAAATAAAAATTAATAACAATTAACATTTGATATTCTTGTTTGTCTCCAAGGTGATTTTTGGATGTGATGAAACATTTCTACATGCGAAGGTATAAATCACTAAACAGAATTTTGCGTATGGTCCTTTTCTTCTCTATGACTTAACATTCTTGCTTATTTTTCCACTTTGTACAAAAATTTTTTTTTTTTGTTTTAATGTTTTTCCTGACCCTCATGCCATTTCTGACGTCTACATGGAATCAATTGAGGAAAATTTCTCATTGTTATGTATGTCTATTCACATTCATTATCATTTTATTAGATATGTTCCAATTATTGAATGAAAAGTTGTTTGTTAGTGTGAAAATTTTTATAATGATTGTGCTTGGCTTTTGTGTATCTGTTTTCTTTGGAATCAGGTTAACTGATGCTTTGCCAGATTCATGAATACACAATAAGGAACAAACTCACTGAGAATGGCTTGTTATATTAATGCACTATTAAATGTTTTGGTATTTCAGAAGGTATGCTGAAAAGTTCTCAACTTGACTCACTTTCAAAAATAAGACCAAGTGACTGAACATCTGGTTTTATTTTTATTTATTACAAGGGATTGTGGGCAAATGAAATAAAATTTATAAATAAATAATAATAATAATTTTCCCATGATGCTACAAGTAAAGGAACCAGAAACATGATTACCCCACTTGGCTTTGGAAAAATGCCATTAGGCAGCATTGTTGAAGTCTATAAAATAATAAACATTTCCTACCTTACCATCTTTTTCCCTCTTGCACCAAGATATAGCATAATGTGAGAATTACGTTCCCATTGGAGAATGTTAGTTTCCCTTGTCCGCTGACGACTGAACTCTCTTTTCACTCTCAAATATATAGCATTCACAAACCTCTACCTATTAAACAGGTATTGAACTCACACTCTTTGGGTCCTGTCACTGATTAAGTTGGTGGAGAACTTGGAAAGGGGAATTAACAGGAGATAACTGATAACTGACATCCATTAGACATGGCACTTGGAACTAGAACAGTCTACCCCAGCAAGCGAAATAAAGGGTACAGTTCAACATTCCAACCACCTGAAGAAGGCCTGAGAGTACAATGGCTGAAACGTTGTGATAAAAATGGCAGCAAAGATGAGGACAATAGACTGAATAATGTAAATAGTGTACATAATACCTTATCTCAGAAATATTGACAGATACCCAAGAGACATTGTGAACTTTAATTCATTAGTCACAATAAAAGAAAGAATAAACAATCCATAGTAGAAACCCAAGTTTTTGTATGCTTCTTCTTTGTTTATCATATGTGAACATGCACACACCTAAAATACATACAAACGTGTAACCTTTTAAATTGCATAGGCTACTTGTCATGATGAACACTTCTCAGCACTTACTCATAATTAGCCTGATACAATGTCATAAGTTTAGGGTGCCCACTGAAGAGTAAGCTGAGATATTTTTATATGCAGGGTGTGAGCGATAATGGCTCTCCACAACTTCCTATCCTTTGTAACCCTGAGAAATGTTGGTCTTCTTACTATCTCTCCCAGTCCATGTTCTGCTATCCATTGGTACAAGCTCGTTAAGTAGGTTGCCTTCTTGTGGGCATCATCTTCATCAAAGCCTTTTTCCTCATTTTTTGTCCCAGAAATTTCAATCTCTTTTTTCTGATTGTAAGTAAAAGTGTCCATTTGTTTCCATTTTCCTTAAAACTTCCTCATTGCTCACATGTTCTGCACTTGGTATTCTCAACATCCTTCTGTAGAGCCACATCACTATTGTTTCTAGTCTCCTCTTCATCTTTGAGAAGATTGTCCAGCAAACACTGCCATAAAAGAGGATTGATATTACATAACAGTTAAGCACCCTTATCTTATTTCTAAACTAAACTTTCCTGTTATTTTAAATATTTTGTTTAGTTTTTTGGAAGACACCTTTCGCTATTCCAGTGCATCTTCGGATTTCGGTGTCACATTTTCGCGCATCTCTTATAATATATTTCAGATAGTTTAATTTCTGTATTTGCTTTATCACCTCCAATTTGTAGCTCATATTCTTGGCTACCCCTCTTGCTAATGATCATACAATCTGTCTTTTTACAATTGATATCCTTTTTTTTCTCGTTTTCCTCAGGAAGTACCTGCAGTTTTCTAAGTCTGTCATCAATGTGGTGGTAGTAGTAGTAGAAGTAGTTTTAGTAACAACAATTTGAAAAATAATCTTGCCAGCTACAACTTTACACCGAGGCGTACAAGTTTTCGAATTAGACACTGACCTTTCTAACACTTCGCACAAAATTGATATAATTGCCATGTATTTCCTTTTTACGTGTTTATATCGTAACTCAAACAGCTTACATATCCAATGGATAAGGTACAAGCTTGTCACGTATTATCTATCTTAATTTTAGCTTGTTTCTTATGTCTTAGTCACGCGAAGAGAAAATAATCCATACTGAAACAGTGTCGCGGAAATTAATAGGACCTTTATTCCGTATCCCAAACAAGAAACATCTTACGACAGATATTATATTCTATATTAGTTTTAACTTTGAACAACAATAGCAGCTAAGCTAGGTTTTAAAGAATTATCGATCCGCCAATATGTAAACTATTTCAACATATGAAGAAGAGACTTGAGGCAACAGAAATGTAGTTCTACAGAAGGACTAAACACTTGAGAAACGACGAAGTCTTATAGAAAATGGAAACGAAAAACATGATACTTATACGTAGCATGAGAGAGAAAGAGTTAAAATTTCTAGGGACCAATGAGAAAAGGGGGCTTGAAAAATTTGACACTGACTAACAGGACATTAAAGGCAAGGACATAGGTAGGTTATACGCAACTTTTCTATCGAAAAATGGTTGACAGAACGGGAATTAGGAGAGATAGCAAAACGAAAAACTTTACTAAAGGCTACAAAAGACAGGAGATTGTGGATAGCCATAGTCGCCTGCCTCCTGAAAGAACACAGCACATAGAAGATTTGTTACTGCCAGGTTAGCCATCTTATTCCACTCCTATCAGCATCTCTTAAAGTAACGAGAGAAAAAATGTCTTAAAGTTGAAAAGGAAATTGACAAGCAGACAGTAAGCAAAAATATTCTATAAGTAAAAAGCATATATAAAGAACTTTGAATGACTTGAGCGAAAGATTAAATAACATTCTTTTCTGTGCATTTTTTAAAGAAAGGAGTGTAGTGATGAATGAATCAGTTTAATTGGCTATTCAACATTTGTTTCTGAATTGTCTTTTAATTTAAAGTGTCTCCGGCTAAGTAAAGTTCTTTTTGTGATTATAAATCTTTCATCTTCAGATGAGCGCTACATTTTTTAGTTCCAGTTCTTTGTAGAATAGGCTCCCACGAACACCACCCTCTTAACCTCTTTAAGTGAAGCTTAAATCGTTATCTATCCTTAGTCTCGTAATCTTCATTTCCTATCGCCTCCTCTTTCATTCATGTCACGCACCTTAGTCATTTTAACAGTCACCCTCTACCTTGAATGGCTTACAAGCCTTGTATTAGGTAAACTTTAGTATACAGAAACGTTGTGCTGAAAATATATTTACTTTTCACATATTCCATTTGATGTGAATTTTCTGTTAAAAAAGTCTAACGTACACTGATAGACTTTCTGTCACATTTTAACTTCCAAAATACACATCTTTGTTTTCTCATTCGTCTAAAATGCTATCTGCATTTTACTGTTTAGCTGGAATGCATTGAATTTGAATTTATGTTTAGTCGTGAACATAAGAGATTCTTTCATCAATAAATTTCGATAAAAATGTATTATTTTCATTTGTAATCCAAGACTGTATTAACTTCTAGTTGTTGCAATAGTTTCCATAAGCAGTTCTAAAAAAAAGGGCAAAGAAATTCATAGTGGAAAAAATTCATAAATTATTGTGGAAATAAGCTTGCAACAATAAGAATAGATGCAATAATGTTGATTTGCTGTTCTTTACTCTTGGATATCAGCGTTTTTATGGTTACTTGAGGAAAAGGGGTTTTCTGTCAATCTTCATTTCTTTGACTTCCCTGATTAAATAATGGAAGTTTGTCCCAACACGGATTTATCTACTGCAGAAGTTACTCGCTCACAAGAGTATTAAGATATTTGGGTTTGGTTGTCTGAGACAATCAACTGGGTAAGCCTAAATTTTCACTTCTTTTGCGAGAATTCCATATTCAATGGATCACTAATGTAACGACTAAAACTATCATTCTGGACATTGATTTTTTTTTTTTTTAATCTTATGTTATTTTATTCATGACCTTTGACTTTCTTAAGGCGTAGCAGCATAAAATCCCCCTATAGTAGTACTTTACAAGCAATTACAGTTGTGTAGTATTATTTTTAGTTCCATTGAAAAAATTAACAGGCGAATCTTCCTTTACTAAGAAAATTGAAAAAGATAGGCTAATCGATAAATAGACAAACAAAAAAAAATGAAAATGTGGAATTCGTGGTAGGGTTTTTTAATGACCTCGTCACGAATGAATTACGAAATAAGGAAGTGACCTGACAGTAGAAGGGGACAATATTTAGAGGTAGCAGAAGTGACCATATTTTAAAATAAGGATTGATTGAGCCATATTTGATTGGATATCGAAAATTCGAACACGAATAAGGAGATTTCGGAATTAAACTAACAGCCGGAAGAATTTTATTTTGTCTAAAAACATAAAAGAATGGGCAATTGAGGGTCTCAAGAAGTTGTCAACCGCTTGCCAGGGGAAATTCTGCTTCTGTCGTTTCATCTCTCTCTCTCTCTCTCTCTCTCTCTCTGCTAAATAAAATCCAACTAACTCTTGCCTCATTTCTCACTTATTCTCGTCGTCATCTTGGCGAAGTAGAGTATAACGAAGAAAATAAATGCCAGAGAATACAAGTTGGTTCTCTTTATTTTGTTACCTTTTCGCTAACCATTAATCCCCCAAAATGGGAATGAGCAGAGGAGATCTATGAAATTGATTAAAAATACAATCTCTTTCTGTTCCATGTAAGACTCACCTCTATTTGGCTTGACGAATAAAGAATAAAAAAAAGAACCACTCTACAATTTGGGAAGAGGTGTACAGTTTTTCTGTCGACTAATCTTTTTAAGATGATCACGCCGTTGGATGGCCATGAAGAAAGGGTCTACAACGGCATCATAATAATTGGAATTTTGCGTTTCACTTACTAACGTAACTTATTTCGAACCCAACCCCTATTTTTCCCTCAATAGGGTTAAATAGTTCAGTTAGTTCAATTGAATTTATTAATAAGTATATTATTTAAAAATCGTTACATGAAAAAAACGTTTTTCTATGTTATGTTTTTCAATTTGTTGTTTCTTATCGGCGTTATTGTATGATCTAATCTGACATTTTTTTAACATATGTATTACGTTATGTGTGTTAGAAATCATTACTATATTGACTTAATATTTTCTTTACGTACATTCCTATCTATAAAAGAAAACATTGACAAAATCGAATAATTTCAGATTAGATTATGATATACAGTAAGGCCTTTAAGAAAGGACGAAGTTGACAGCAAAAAAAATCATTTTTTCATGTAACGTCTTCTCTGGGAAGCAATAAAAACTGCTACAAGTAATATTAGTCAAAACAGTAGAAACAAAAGTAGGTAACAAAATCAGTAGAAAAAGTATTGATGACTATAGAATGTTAATATGATATTAATATGTAATATAAATATTCGGTTATATGGACTATTTTATTAAACAAATACATGTTTATATCACTTGTATTTTTTAAATTTACAAATAAACATTTCATGTTGCACTTACTTTGCATCGTTAAAACGGACATTTATATAAACAGTTACCTATATTTGAAAATGGATAGTGTCTACCGGGGTAAAAAGTGTAAGATAACGCCTATTTTGAAATTCAAATTCTCATATTATTTTCTTTAGAAGACTTAATGAGAAAAAAGCCATATGTTTGCACCAAGATTTTCCTCTTTAAGGCACTATAGTTACTTAGTAACTATATGAATGCATAACTCATGAAACAAGCTTTATTTTGACCTTTCTTTTTGTACGAAATTGGAAAGGATCCCGGTGTAAAATAGGTAACTATCTATTATTATCCTTTGCATTACATGTGCCCTAATAAATAGCTTGAGATATGTTCTTACTAAACACTTTTCAATCACATATCAGTCACTTTGAGGCCAATCACTGTTAGCAAAATAGGGAATATTGTATTTTTTGGCTACACTGTTTATTGCCTCTCCATCATCTACTTTAGCCAAAGTATCTGTCAGATTCTTATATTTCTTCTGTTTCTTGGGTACATATGTTCCAAGGCATGTTTATGAAACTTTCATTGATTTTATTAAACACTTCAGCACTAGAGGCAAGGAAGCACATGACTTTAAAATCACTATTGGGTAAAAAGAGCATGAGTGAGGAAAACAGGTACATTTTAAACACAATGACTTTTTTCAAATGTGCACAGAATATTACGTGTCGGGTTACTCATTTTACCCCGACTACGAAAGGCTGATATTTTTCAGCAAGTGGCAATCACAGAAACCAATATAATACAGAAAATCAAAGATTGTGATTGATTGTTTCTTTTACAGACACTTTTTAATCATTTACAGCCTAAAATTCAGACAATGAACAAAGTATTGTAGAATAAACAAAAGATGCAAATGAGATACTAATTTTATGAAGTCCTTCTCATCAGCAACCCAAAATTGAATGAAAGGCAATATTTGGCTTTGTTAGCAAATTTATACAGGTAAGGAGTTTGGGTACCATAATACAGGCACACAATCCCACAATTCATTTCAGAAAATGAACAATGGCACATCTATCATGGCTAATACTTTGCATACCCATTTTATCATAGATACCTATTTTAACTCAGTAGACCCTAGGTATTATACCCTGGAACTCGCGAACTATTACTAAAAAAATAAAAAAAATAAGCAAAGCTTGAAAAAATTTCCCAGCATTTGTTGCTTACTTTTTGTTTTGTGTGCTGTATTTTTCGGAGTTTAACCTGCCGCCATTTTCGGTGGCCAAACATTTTTTTCTATTCTGACATCTAATAAGGGTTTGATTTACAGAAGAAAAGATTTCATTTGATCTGTACTGACTGGATTTAGCCGGACTGTATAACCGAATAAATTTTCCCTCTTCCTGAAAGGTAGGTCTGTTTCTTTTTGTTTATGGATGGCGAAGATCTGATCAAGGCCATAAAAGTCTTGTTCAAGACCAGTTGACTAAAAACATTACTTTTACCCCAATCTGTGGTCACTTGAATTTTAATATGATTGAAAGTTGTCACTTTTGTTATTTTAATATTAACAAATCTGTGTCCATAGCCGTATGAAGTGATGGTAGTAGTGAAAGCAAACGAATCTTCCCCTGGATCGTTTATACTCGGTAAAGGCATAGTTAGTATATTTGTTTTATGTAATCCTAACTTTATGCACCTATCGAAAAAAATGATGTATGATGCTCGATTTTGCCATTCGTCTCCCTCCTAAGGAGAAATGACAGCGGGCGCCCATGTCTGCATCGTGTTAAAAATAATAATTCTTCATACAGTCATAGTATTTAAAGACGTTAGCAGAGTGTCGGGCTTACGACACGAAATTCCACCCATTTTGAATCCACGAAATGAGAAAATTTACCGACATGATTTCAGACAAATATTTGCATTTAAGACTATTTAATTTATTTGAGACTATTTAATTTTACGAGAGCAAACCGGTTTTTTTTTTGGGGGGGGGAGAAATTGGTGTGTTTTTCTTTGTCAGCGTATTTGTCTCTCAATCTCTAACTTGTATGACAGCGCTATATTTAAGCAGTTTGTTGTTTAACTTTGTATTGATTCACTCCTATACGTCCGCTCAGCTTGTGTGAATCTAAACATCCTTTCGTAACACGTTTCTGATTTCCTTTTATTTCATTGTCAACAAATAAAGTGCCAGTAAAAGTGCATAAAAACTGACGCAAACAATTTCATGGGAAGCTTCAGGTGTGAGAAATCGAAACACAGATTGAGCATATATAAAACGTTGGAACACTAACAAAAATAATTTATCATTTGCAGAAACGCCAATAATGAACGGACTTTTTCTTTGTGCTTTCATCTTTGCCATCTCCCTAGTCGCTGGTAAGTCATTTCATTTTATTTTTTCTCTCGTCTTTTTTTGACAATCGTCATGACTTTAAAGACATCTCTCTTCCTTCCCTCTTTTCAACATTACGTAATTTGAATTTTATTGTATTTCAATGGATCGACAATCAGCCAATTGTTTTTGTGAGTTTGTCGGTTTCAAATAAGTAAGTAATAGATAGCCACTCGTATCCGAGTATGCCTGTCTCCTCGGGCGGCTAGTCAATCTCTGCTCAGCACCCACATATCCCACATATTGCAACTATACTGAGCAAACCTTAGTGCGCTACCTTCCAGAAACTAACTATCTGGTGTCTCTGAAAAGGCAATTATGTTCAAACCCTCGTTTTAGTGCTAGCTCAACAATCGACGGCTTTCAAATAGTTCCGTCGACCCAATTTCTCTCGCAAGGCTTGAGGTCTACTATGATTTTTAGACACTTTTCAAAGATGCCGCAGGCTGGGTTCGCCTCTACAGGCCGATAACATCAACACACCGCTTTTCTGACAAATTGACCATGGTGGGATTCGAACCCGGGTCTCATGGTCAGATAGCCAACGTTCTAACTACTCATTTTTATGATACTTTGGTAAAGAACAGCAAGAATCTTCATATATTTTGGGATCTTCATCCGCGCACCCACAGAGCTGGAAATGTGTCATAAATCTGATAATTAAGTGTCTAAGTTTATTCCAGCAAATTGTCATACGGGGACAATGGCCTAATGGATGAAAGTGTTGGTTTGGGAATTTGGTGACAACGTGGTAGTGTAGTGCGTACTTGCACTCAGTGAAAATGGGTGAACAATAACTGAATAGTACTAAATAATAATAATAACTAGACGAGATGATGGGATATCCCTAGCCATGAGCAGTGGAACGAAAACAGTCTACTCCCGTAGATTAAATAAATGGTTCAGTTACCTGTAGGTTACCGGAGGAAGCATTGTGATAAAAACAACAATGATGACGACAATAGTCCGAATATAAATAATCAGTTAGTTAATTAGTTAACAAACAATCGCAGGTATGGTTCCGAAGCTTCGCACTAAATGTAAAGAAGGACTAAGAAGTATGAAGTAAAATTCCTTTTCGTTAGAATTTAGTTTATTTGAAAAATTAATATATTGAGATTTCAATAAAAAATTTCTTCGTAGAAAGTTTTGTTTGAGTCAGTGAAATGTAAAAAAAATTATACGCGTTGGGATATGAACATGTGTGGAACTCCTGAAATAAAGTCCATTACAAATATGGCAAACTCGAAGAATGAGCCTACCAAAAAGAAAATGTAACAGAAAAACAAGAAGAAACTGATATATGGGTACAAATAAGTATATGTATTAAACAACAAAAAGGGTTTACAAAAGGCGAAAACATTAACGTGTTTGTGTTTGCGCGTGTGTGAGTGAGAGAGATGTGCATGGTGCCTTTCCAAGGAAAAGCATAGCGCTCCCCACGAAGGGGAAAACGCAGTCTTCTGCGAGAGCCTTACATGGTCGCAGTGTCCGCTGAAAAATGGAAGACGAGAGAGAGAACGAAGTATTTGCGAGTATTATACTTTGGAGATAGCGACCCCAAGGAACAACTTGGGCAAGTGGGAAATTAAACAATTAGGAAAATAAGGAGGAGTTAACTCCGACAAGTGGGAAATTAAACAATTTAAGTGAAGCCGGGGATGATGACGTGTGTTTAAAATGACTGAATGGTAATTTAGATTTTATAATGCGTTGGAAAGGTCTATGACAGTGTCAATAATATTATACAGCTTGGAAAGAGGACTCCTAGATTTTGAGACCATAGGCTTCAGCCTGCTGAGCCTATAGGTAAATCCGGCACTGGTGTTGGTACTTTATGGCTTTGTTGATGAAAAACTCTAAGATTGATTTTATTTTGCTTTAGGCCATGGCTTTGGTCAGACGTGTTCATATTATGGGAGGACGTACAATGTCGGTGATAGCTTCAAGATCAGGTGCAATACTTGTACCTGCGGTGTAAATGGAAGTGTGTCTTGTACACGAATGTTTTGTCAACCACCAGGTGAGTATCGTTAAAATATTTTGGTGGGTGTAGAAATTCATTTCGTAATTATCAGAAGAAAATATAACTCGAGTACTGGGAAGGTACAAAAAGGTTACAAAAATTCAAGAAGACTGACCGCAGATGGAGAATCTTTAAACCTCAGTTTACAAATGGGCAAAGAATTGTTTTTCAAAACTATTTTTTCACCCTTATAATTATTTTATGCGAATTATTTTTTGTGATTTTTATTTATTTCTTCATTTTCTATTATCCACATAAATTTTGGACAAAAAAATAAAATTATAATGAGTGAACCCTCCCCCCATTGCCAAATAAGTTCATTGGACCCTTGGTTAACATTTTTAATTAAATAAAAAATACCGATCATTCTAAATAGATGCCATTATGCAAAGCTTTTTTTTATTAGGTTTTTCAAATTACTCATTTTCTTAGTTATATAATGCTTGGAAAAGTTTTCTAATAGACATTTGAAGATTAAGCAATACCGCCCATTATATTGCATCATCTTTATGAAACAAACAATTAGTATTGCATCATCTTTGAGGGAACCTTGCATCATCATTCAACAAGTATAAAAAACAGTAATAGCTTGCCAACTATTTATTTGTCCTGTGGTCTTAGAGTTGTAATCCTTCCACAAAATGTCAAAGCGTCAAAAGCTAAACTTTGAAGATATTTCACAATTGTTATCCGAGTTAAATGAACAGTGGGAAGAAGAAATTAGTGTTGAAGCTTCTTTTTCTGATGATGATAATGAAAGTGATAATGTCAGCATTACTTATTCAAAATCGGATGATGATATGAATGATGACGATAAAGCTGATAGAAATGATTCTTCAATGATGAATGAAAAATATTATTCAAAGGATAAGTCTGAAATTTGGTCTTCTAAACCAATTGAAATGGCACAAGGAAGAACATCGTCCTACAATGTTTTACATCAAAAGCCTGAACATTCACGTTTTGCAAGAAGATCTTGTGATTCAGCTCTTCCAACATTTATATTGTTCATGAAGATAAAAATCTCCTGGAAATAAACACCAAAATTGAAAAAAGCTGAAGGAATTCGGGTCTCACAGTTATTGATACAACTACAAATTCTAGTGAACCAGGAACCATCCAATGAGAGAAAGAAAACAAATATGCACCTTGTATGAGCCTAAAATGGATAGAAAAAAGCAATACCAATTATAAGACAAAGGGTTAATATATGTATTATTTTAATTAATTAATTTTTGACTGGTTGTCTTGTTGAATGGTGCACAACAAAGACTATTTAGCTGAAATTGGAAGAAAAAGACGTTGAAATGCCGTTACCAGTAATTCAGACATCAAAAAGAAGAAAGTTTCATTCTGATGAATAACATGGTTATGTCGGAGTATTTTGACTTAGTCTGACTGAAACAAAAAAAAAAAAAAAAAAAAAGGAAAACATTATCAATGTTTGGAATTACCAAAGAAATAAAAGAAAAGAATACACGAACAAATCCTAGATTTCAACTGTTCAGTGTTCATGAGGATATCTTTTTAATCTTTTTACTCCAAGAAAGGTAATAAAGACACTAAGACGCAAAGGGTTACTGAGTGTTAGAGAATATGAGATCAATATAATATTAAAGAGAGAGGACAATAAAAGAACAAGAATTAAGAAGATAAACGATAACCATTGACACTGCAGTTAAATTTTTGAAGACCAAACTTGTCTTGAAAGCAAGAAGCCGGATGAGAGTTACACAAACCAAAAAAGCGATAGGAGAAACTGTTAGCATAGAACTTACGGTTATGTCTAACCATTTCAGCTGTGAAATGATGAGACCTTGCCGCCAATCTAGTACTATAATTGTGTTAGTATATCACCTAGTACTATAATTGCATTAGTGATCTGTCGTTATTGCAACAAAGCAAATAAATTTCCAATATTATAAAATTAAAATCTGCAACTGACATTTTTACAAGATTTTTGTTTGTGATGGAGTGTGTATTGATTATTTTGTTTTTACGGTCTATCAATCTTTTTATGTTATTTAAAGCCAGAAAATATTTTTTACAATCTGCTGTTAACTAGGATAGGCTTGTTAACTAACACCTCCAAAATGAAACTGACCCCTTTTAATTATCTTATAGAACCATTTTTGCCTCGATGGCTGATGCTGACCCCCAGGATAATAACTCATTACGCCTTTTCGGACTAATGTTTTCAGCTGACACGAAGTACAAACATTATATATTATAAACATTATAGGAAAGTTGGTTCACTGTGTTGTGCTAGACAATACTTCTCACCAGAACCTATCTTACATATTCGTCCATACATTGAATATTGCTACCACATCTGCTCTGGTGCTTCTGATAGGTATTTACATATTTTTGTTAAAATCCAAAGTATCTGCAATGTTATCAGTCCTGACCTGGCATCTCAGCTTCAATCACTTTCCGACCTCCGTAGCTTCTTTGTATAATTTCTAAAAATATTTTCACGATTTTTGTTCTGATCGGCTTTCTTCTTTAGGACCTCAACTTTACAAATTTAAGTGCAGTACGACATTAGCAGGTAGGTTTCATCATTTTACATTTGAAATTGCTACATGTAACCGTAAGTTCTATGCTCACAATTTTTTTTCTCTTGCACTTCTTGCTTGTGAAACTCTTCAATTCTTTGTTTGATCTTTACACAGAATTTGATTGCACAAGAAAGAAATATTCCAAATTTTTATTACACGGATAAATAGCAAAAATATGACTAAAATCTATTTTTGATTTATCAGTTGAAATTCTTCAAAAAGAGGACTTTGCAATCAGCTTCATTTAAATCCAAATCCGTAACATGGAGTTGCTTAGGATTTCAGTCGAAAGTTTCCTGGATGTTGACTACAGAATACACAGCTCAGAAAAATCTTTGTCGAGAAGTTTGTTAAGGCAATGTAGAACATGATACCTCAACTGACTCCACATGATATCATGTTCCAAAAAGCCTTCTTTCCTCATAGATGGCAGATCATTACGCATTGGGTTATACCTATTGAATCTCTCGCACGACCTTCTTGTGTCCCTTCGAATGTTGTCCCTTCTGTAGCTCGATCCTTATTTCAAACACAAGCAACGACACTTTTTTCTTTATAGACACTTTTTGCGGGTAGTATATTGGTCCACAAACAGATATTGAATGACAGAAGACAACATCAAACAAAACAAAGACTTGAATAAAAAAATATATTCTCAAGTTTATTTTTGTTAAAGAAAATACATCGACAAAAAACAAGGTTACAGTGCACTCGGCAAAAAATATCTCTGCATGTTCATTTTCCTCTGTCCCATGAGATGCTCGTAAAATTCAGCGTACTTACATCGCATACTGACAATGTTTCAATACACTTCAAAAATAATATACTGGCCCATTTAATTAATAATGATTAAAATATTTCACTTCTCTTTTTTCAGTCTGTATTATGAGACTCATAGAAATTTTCATCCAATCCAGCAGATTTTTGTGAAAAAAAGTTTGAGAATTGAATTAAAATTTCCATGAAACTCGCATTGTCAATGGTAGCGACAATCTATCAAAGCAATGTCTTGTAGCTTGAAAGAAAATTTGCCCGATATTACGGCATTTTTGTTCTCCCTGTATCTGCTGTAGTGGAAATAAATAGGAGGTATTATTTTCGGAATGGCCTGCGTGTGTGTGTTTTTTATGTGAGACAGAAGCAAACGTAGGTGAGTGGTCACTTGGGTAAACCAGTCTCCGATAACGACTTTACCTGTCTAGGCAGTAACAGGAAAAGTCTTGCCATGACACGAGATGAATACTCAATTTTAAGACTGCTGAATTATCTCTCCTTCAAACAATATTTGCAGTCTGATTTGAGTCCGAGTCAATAATGACACAGGGTGTAACGAAATGGACGACATTGGCAGCTTAATAAAACATTTCGTTCAAATTTACTTGTTGTGGGATGCTAGTATGTTTGGGTAAATATTAGTCACCATTATGTTTCGGGGACCAGCACTTTGGAGAGTAAATATTTACGGCCTCCTGAGACATTTATCCTGAAAATAATATTGGCGGACTCAATGTGAGTGCAGGTAAAAATGAGTGACACAAAACAATAAATACAAAACAAATGTCAATGCATGTATTAACAAAAGGAATTAAATGTATATACAATTGTAACGAAAGGAGAAAAAACGTTAAAATAACTTATAATAAGAACGTGCTTGCTTGTTTGTGTGTATGTGTGTAACAAGCGTGTGTGATAGACACGTGCGTGTATATGCGTGTGTGAGAGGGTACAAAGAGGAGGACCAAAGAGGCGAACGCGGCTCAGAGGCAGCGTTCCTATCTCCATCAGAAAGCCAGAGCTTTAAAGATCAAAAAGTGGGTGAGTGAGAATATCATTGCTTATTTATAGGCGTAAAGAACGCCCCTCTAGCAGGTGTTTTGGCACAGTCAAGTGGGGTAACCCACATTACACTAGACGACAAGATCAAGCGACAGATTCCATGTATATAATCATTAAATACATAAAAACAAGTTTACAGAATTATTATTATCATTATTATTATTATTATTATTATTATTATTGTGATACAAGAAAGAAAAGAACTTCATCATTTAAACTTATTAAATGTTTCTTCAAAATCCTTAGTTGACGTTATAAGGCGAAAGGAATATATTTAACTATGCCGTGGGAGGTTAAGTGCGTGTTCTCACTGTGATAGGTCACGTTGTAAGCGAGTGAGGTTTTTACAATCCGCGCCGCTCATAAGCTAGGGTCTCAGGCCCCCACCGACAAAACTTTGATACTGGGTCCCCCTTTCCAACATACGTCAATTTTTCAAACTGGAGGCCACAAACCATCGAAGGAAATTTGGGGGTAGTGCAGCGCTTTTTTTAAATTACCAAAAATCAGGGAATTATCCAATTTAAATGAAAATGTCAGTACATATTCATTATTTACTTTTATAATGAATTTTTTTAACTCTGAGAAAATGTTATTCTTTTTCTAATAACCACCAATATTTACATGACTAAATTTTACTCGAAAAAAATGTTTATGTCGCAAATTTTTTTCCATAAAGATTAATCGCCGACGCATCTCCGCTGAAAAAAAAAACGTTTTACAAAGATTCCAACACAACACAAACGGGATTGTCTTAAAAATTTGTTTTAAAAACAGTATTTCAGTTTTCTGGAAAATTTTTTCATGCAGCAAATATATAGAGGCATGTTAAGAAAACTTAAGAATTAATAATTAACGCTGTTTCTCGTGTTCTTTTCGGCATAAACATACAGACGAAACTCCAGGTCGTACACAATCATGACATTGGAAACTCGACATTTCACGCCATTAACAAGAACAGTTGCGTCAATTTTGTTAACTGACGAGGGTCAGGGGGAAAAAAAGTAAATGAAAAAATGTCTACAAGCGAAAAAATAGAATATACGATGGTGGGAGAGACAAATGAGATTTAAAAGTGGTGGTTATTCGTTTTTTGTTTTTTTTTTTGTAGAAATAAAAGCGAATAATGAGAATAAAGAGAACTTCTCTATCGGGTGGAGTGCGAATAGTAAACACCTTGTTTCAGTAACAATGCAATTAGAGATGCATTGGAAAAGGAGGTGTCAACCAAAAAGTAAACAAAATGACCTTTACGAATCTGATTTTTGCCCGCATCGGTGTCAATTGTGTGAACAACTGTTTTGAAAATCCACGAGTTTAAAAATGAAGGCAAGGAGCTTTCATTTTGACTGAAACGAAGAACAACCAACAAACAAACTCTATCTATCTATCTATCTATCTATCTATCTATCTATCTATCTATCTATCTATCTATCTGTCTAATTCAGAGAGATTCTGAAATGTTTTAAGGAATTTTTGCTCACTTAGTCAGATTTTGATGAATTTATCAATCCACGTATGTTCTTTACTTTCGTTGTTGCTGTTTTGGACAGGAAAAAACAGCGAAATTCCCGTTTTTATTTTTTATTGATCCTTTCAACACATTTAATATTTTTTTTGATTTCCGGTAGGTATTTGAATAAAATTTCTTTTTGCGGAAATATTTTGTGTTCTTTTCGTTCACTGCTTTTTTATATCCAAATAAGCAGCAGAGGAAGAAAAGAACGAAAGTTTTACGGGAAAAAAAACAAAAACATATTTCAGATCAACCGGAAAGCAGAAAAAATATTAGAAATGTTGAAGGACAAATGAAAAAATAATATGTTCATACATTATTAGTCTCTCTCTCTCTCTCTCTCTCTCTCTCTCTATATATATATATATATATATATATATATATATATATATATATATATATAAAAGTATTAATGTAATAATTATAAAAGCTTATTTAAATGCGATTAATGACTTTTACAGTTCGATAATTTTGAAGTATTTTTTGACATTAAAATATTTTTTTTTTTTAAATTGGATGATCAATAAAATCGGCATTTAACCATCCGTTCACTCAAGCGGAATAAGAGACGAGGTTTGAAAAATATTAACTAATTAAACTTAAGTTGTAAACGAGACATGATTTGAAAATTAACATAAGAAGCTGGGCAGAGCCGTATTTAGATGTGGCTTTCCAACATCTCCCATTTTCACGAGTAGAGAAAAATGGAAGAGTGTGTAGCGGACCGTGTTTTTTTTTGTTTTATTTTTTATATATACGCGTTGTGATATGAACACGTGTGGAACTCCTGAAATAAAGTCCATTACAAATATGGCAGACTCGAAGAATGAGCCTACCAAAAAGAAAATGTAACAGAAAAACAAGAAACCGATATATATGTACAAACAGGTATATGTATTAAAAAAGGTTTACAAAAGACAAAAACATTAACATGTTTGTGTGCATGAACGTAAAGAGTTCGTGTTTCAAAGTATGTTCGTACGTGTGTGTGTGTGTGTATAATGTTCATGGTGTCTTTCCAAGGAAAAGCATAGCGCTCCCCACGAAGGGGAAAACGCAATCTTCTGCGGGAGCCTTACATGGTCGCAGTGTCCGCTGAAAAATGGAAGAAGAGAGAGAAAACGAAGTCTTCGCGAGTATTTATACTTTGGAGATAGCGACCCCTAGGAACAACTTGGGCAAGTGAGAAATTAAACAATTAGGAAAATAAGGAAAACAAGTGGGAAATTAAACAATTTAAGTGAAGCCGAGGATGATGACGTGTGTTTAAAATGACTGAATGGTAATTTAGATTTTATAATGTGTTAGAAAGGCCTATGACAGTGTCAATAATATTATACAGCTTGGAAAGAGGCCCCTAGATTCTGCTGAGCCTATAGGTAAATCCGGCACTGGTGTTGGTACTTTATGGCTTTGTTGATGAAAAACTCTAAGATTGACTTTATTTTACTTAGGTCAGACTTGTTCACATTATGGAAGGACGTACAATGTCGGTGATAGCTTCAAGATCAGGTGTAATACTTGCACCTGCGGTGTAAATGGAACTGTGTCTTGTACACGAATGTTTTGTCGACCACCAGGTGAGTATCATTAAAATATTTTGGTGGGTGCAGAAATTAATTATCAGGAGAGAGGAGAAAACATATAAAAGCAATAGCGAGATATGGATTAAAGAAAGTAATTAGTAATTCATTAAAATCAAACGCGGTGATTGAAAGAGCAAAAATAATTTTAGTATTCAATAACATTACTAATGGCTTCATGTAATGTGAGTGTCAAGGACGAGATCGCATTCAAATCGATTAGGAATTGGCATTTATCAGCAACATAATAATCAATAATCAATCGAGCTATCAAAGTAAATGAAAGTGAAACTATAGCCTTTGTGAGTTAATATGACTGAAGATTATAATCATGTTTAAAATAAATTCAATCGATAACGGCAGATTGTTGAAAGGCAAAAGAACTCATTCTGAAGCACATTTATTAGTCGAAACACACACACACACACACACACACACACACACACACACACTGTTTCTGGAATTTTGTATTTGAAAGAATAAGGGAAGTGTTCTGACTAGGAAAATCATTTTAAAATAAGAATAGACAACAAAAATATTGGTTTTATTCATGTGAATAATAAACTATAACTGTAACACATGATCCGAAACAAGAATTCGGGACAATGTGGTGAGCACGAAATAATATCAGGTCATCCCATAAGTTCTGTCCGATTTTTGAATAAAGAAAACAAGTGACCAAATGTTAAATTTAATTACAGATTCAATCAACAATGTATTTTACCTGATTATCTATGACTTCCTTCCATCTATTAACAAGCTTACTAATTCCATTACTGTAAAATTCTTTTGGCTTTGATTCGAAGAATTCACAAATGTCAGTTATAACCTCTTCCTGTGTTATAAAAGCTGTTTCTTCAAAATGATTCTGTAAGCTACGAAACAAATGGTAGTCTGAAGGAGCAAGATCGGGAGAATAAGGTGGATGAGGAATTTTCTTCCAACCAAGTTCTTCGATCTTTTGTGACGTGATTCTTGCTGTGTGGGGTCGCGCATTGTCCTGATGAAACATCACCTCTTTTCGATTCATTAGAGCAGGTCTATTTTTCCTCAAAGCTTGGTTCAAACGCTCTAATTGCTGACAGTATATTTGAGCATTAATTGTTGCATTAGTTGGTAAGAATTCAAAGTGGATTATTCCTTGGCGATTCCACCAGATTGAAAGAAGAACCTTTTGCCCATGAAGTTCCCTTCTCGGCTGTGGCTGGGGGTCTTCCCCTTTACCAAGCCACTGTCTACGACGCTTAACATTTCGATAAAAGATCCATTTTTCGTCGCCAGTCACAAGTCTATTCAAAAAAGGTGAAACAAGTTGGCGAGAATGGAGAGAAGAGCGGATGTCAACTCGGGATTTGAGGTTGTTTTCACACAATTCATGCGGCACCCATTTTCCAAGTTTAGGAACTTTTCCAAGTTGTTGAAGATGACGATGAACAGTTGTATGGTTTGAACTGAGAACCACTGCCAATTCCTCAACTGAAGGGCTGCTTCAAGAAGCTTTTTATCAAACTCAACTAGACATCCGGTTCGATCTTCATCTTCAAGGGTGAAATCTCCACCTCTGAATTTTGTAAACCATCTTCTGCAAGTACTTTCATTCACACATTCCTCTCCATAAACTGAGTGAATGTTTCTAGCAGCTTCGGCTGCTGAGTTTCCTTTCTTGAAGTCATAAAGCATTATGTGCCTCAAATGATTCTTGGGTACTCCCATGTTAGCAGGGTTTTAATCAAACAAAATTTTTAATTTTATTGTTCTCTGAAATAACATTTGATCAGTTTAAATGCATCTAAACATAAAAATAATGTTCAGCTCCATTAGACATTATAAAATACTCTTTAAATTTCGTTCATTTTAACAAAAAGTTAATATTCGGACAGAACTTATGGGATGATCTGATAATATCTTCCTTTAACTACTCCCTTCAAATTCGGGTGAGCTGAGGAAAAAGACAAAGAAATTCGCGATCCTATGGGAAAATTTCTTCGGACCAATGAAAACCTTGGCTTCACGGAGATTGGTCGGCGAGCTGAGGAGAAAAGGAAACAAATTTGTGAGACTATGTGAAATTGCTTTTGGTCATTTAAAACCTTGTCTTCACAGACGAAAGAAAAGGAAGTAATGAACCTATGCGAAATTCTTTTTTTTATATATAATGAGAAAAATTAATAAGAGAAGAGTATTTGAAATCATGTGAAAGGTTTCGTTTCAGTACCTTGCGACTAGCGTTCAAGTTCTTGCTAGTGTAAAATTAGTCGCCAATTATATTACTGGCTTTTAATCAATCTCGCGGCATTTCAAATGCAATCGGATATCCCTTCAGTGAGTAATGCATTTTCTTACCTTTGTTTTAAACATTTTCGAATATAATATTTTGCATCAGATCATTTAATCTTTTGTATGAACAATTTCTCTTCATGACAATTCGTTAAAACTACGGACATTTAAAATTTCTGATTTATTTTTCTGAAACGACCTACTGACATAATTTCAAGCGTGTAAATTCGTAAATAAATTCCTTGTCTTGTTTGGTCAAAAATTATCCGTGTGTTTTCTCGTCATTATCATTCTTCATTAATCTTCTTGGCGTCGGTAAATCAGCTGTTCATTTTTACTCTGAAGCCCTACGCCACTATAAAAGTATTGAAGCAATTGGTAGTGTATTAAATTGAAATATGTAGCACAGTACATAAATGTTTTTAGTATTAGGATTTTTTTTTGTTTAATTTACTTGAATGTTTCCGTCACGAATTCTTTTGAGGATTAAACAGCGAAACTGGTAATGATATTTGGAGATCAATTTTTTTTCTTTTGTAGTAAATAGTAAAATTTTCACGTCGAAAGAATTAAAAGATTGACTTTATTTTGCTTTAGTTCATGGCTTTGGTCAGACTTGTTCACATTATGGGAGGACGTACAATGTCGGTGATAGCTTCAAGATCAGGTGTAATACTTGCACCTGCGGTGTAAATGGAACTGTGTCTTGTACACGAATGTTTTGTCGACCACCAGGTGAGTATCATTAAAATATTTTGGTGGGTGCAGAAATTCATTTCATAATTAATTATCAGGAGAGAGGAGAAAACATATAAAAGCAATAGCGAGATATGGATTAAAGAAAGTAATTAGTAATTCATTAAAATCAAACGCGGTGATTGAAAGAGCAAAAATAGTTTTAGTATTCAATAACATTACTAATGGCTTCATGCAATGTGAGTGTCAAGGACGAGATCGCATTCAAATCGATTAGGAATTGGCATTTATCAGTAACATAATAATCAATAATCAATCGAGCTATCAAAGTAAATGAAAGTGAAACTATAACCTCTTCGAAACCGGTAATGATATTTGGAGATCAGTTTTTCTTGCTTTTGTAATAAATAGTCAAATTTTCACGTCTGTTGTCTTGAGACTCAAAAGTCCTATTGCCTGTATAGTGAGTAAGTGATGCAGAGATGGACAGAGGGGTGGTAGTAGAGAGTACTTGCTAGTTGAAAGGATGAACTTATTGTCTAGTATGCCGTGATTGGCATAGCGTAAGTTGTTCCGTCATCTACCTTTTTTTCTAGACAATGAAAGCGAATCTCTGAATAAACAACAAAATATGTTGGAAACAGGATTGACCTTTTCATTTCTCGCCATATTGATATTTTCACCTTTCGTTTCCTTGTGAACGTAAAGCGGGCCTTCCCCAGTTTTTGTGCACACCGACGCGAACGAGACGCGAACGAGATGCACCGTCGTGTGATTTGTCCAGTCGGTGAAGAGAATATCCCGTTGTATTTTTTCAGTATGTATCCCACTCTTTTCTACCTAGCTAACATGAAGGGGAAAGATTATATTGAATCAATTGCTAGGTCTACTTCTAGGAATGTTGGTTCACTGTGTCGGGTTAGACAATTTTTGTCTATTTTTGAGATGAGGTATTATGTACACTATTTACATTATTCGGACTATTGTCCTCATCCACCGCCTTAACAATGTGAGTTCAATACCTGGAGAACTTGGAGAGAGATAACTGATAACTGACATCCGTTAGACATGGCACGTGAGCGAAATAAAGGGTTCAGTTCGACATTCGAACTACCCGAACAAGGCCGGAGCGTACAACAGTCGAAACGTTGTGATAAATATGGCAATAAAGATGAGGGCAATAGTCCGAATAATATAGATAGTGTAGACAATTTTTATTGCCAGAAATTCTCTTACACATTTCGTCAATGCTTTGAATATTGTTGCCACAACATCTGGTCTGGTACTTCTGCTATGTATTTACTGATTCTTGTTAAAATCCAAAGAAGAATCTGCAACGTTATTGGTCCTGACTTGGCATCTCGACTTCAGTCACTTCCCCACTGCCTTAACGTAGCTTCCATGTTCCTTTTCTATAAATACTTTCATGGCAATTGTTCTGATGAACTTTCTTCATTTGTACCTCCACTTTATGAATTTAAGCGCAGTACTAGATTGGCGGCTAGGTCTCATAATTTTACAGTTGAAATGGCTAGATGTAGCCGTAAGTTTTATGTTAACAGTTACTTTTCTCGTACTTCTCGCTTGTGGAAAACTCTTCCGACCTCTTGCCTTCCAGTAAACCTTGATCTTCAAAAATTTAAATACAATGTCAATCTTCTTAATTCTTGTTTTTTTTATTGTTCTCTCTCCTTAATAATGTTTTCTTTCCCTCATATTCTCTCACGCTCAGTATCCCTATTGTGTCTTAGTGGCTTTATTGCCTTGCCTGAGGTGAAATGATAAAAAAGGTAAGGTTAGAAAGCCATTTTTCTATTGACGAATATTGTGCCATTGTCATTTTGCTGAATATATAAATATAACTGAATATTATGTTTGTGGCCAGATATCACGTTGTTTCCAGCGTTATCATACTTATTAGGTTATAAAAGTCAAATTAGTTTTGAAACTTATTACATATTACGAACATGTATATATTTGATATTAAGACTGATTTGAGTTGAGATCGATTCGTAATCGATATTTTCAGTCGTACTCGGAACTCCTAAACTTTGTATGTTAGGTTTATCTTATTTTCTTAACACTGATTTTAGCCAGTGTTACAGATACCAATGGCTGACCTCAGCTATACTTGATTTGAACTTGTACTTCACTCATAACCAGTCGTACGAATTAGCCCTCTACTAATCTAGCACCATCTCGTGAATGATACATTCTGCATCTCATTTTAGATAGTCTAGTGCAAAATTTCTCAACGTGGGTCATACGGCTCCTTTAGGGGAACATAAAATATTTCCAGAGGCCACATGGTCAAGTTTGAAAAATGGTGGGGGGGCAGGAGACACAGAAAGCTAAGGACACACAATACATATATATATATATATATATATGGAGTATTTTGTAATTAATAATTATTATTTAAAATAAAATATTAAATTTATTAAGTTAAACATTAATGTAAGCAATTTTGTTAATATAAATATTTATTTATTTGAAATTTTTTCATTTGATCTCTGCCGTTTTTAGTTTTGAATTTCTTAAATTTTAAAACTCATAATTTAAAGTTTAAATTAAAATATGTTTTCACCAACTTGTCTTTCAATTCTGAAAAGCTAAATGTCCTGATCTCCAAAGAGCTCCAAGGGAATGACACCATCCTGTTTTCCAGCAAGGAAGCAATTAACGCATTTAATGGGGAACACTAAAGCTATTCTGGTTGAACCTTAGGAGACGTGCGTTTGCAAAGTTTCCTTCCTTTGCAAATATATCCACCGAGCTACTTGATGATGACCTAGCAGTGTATGTTGATCATTTGAAGCAGTTGCATAATGATATAAAAACTCACTTCTCTGATCTTCAATGCTGGACTGGTTTGTGGATCCCTTCATTGCTGATTTAAGAACTCAAATCGGCATTGGGGAGGGGAGTGGGGTATGTATAACAGTGGTTCCCAACCGATTTGGAGTCATGCTCCACTTTGGTATTTCTATAATTCTGGTGCCAAATTTTTACATGTATACAAGTTACACATGTACGTACATACACACAAGATATTTTTATGAATGCAATGTTGTATAAACATCGTATGTGTTAATACACATTAACACTCTCATTCAGAATCACTAGAAAACAATTCACTGTTAATAACTTATTCTCGAATTGCCCTCTTATTCTGTTGGCATTGAAAGCCGAAGGGTGCATATCCTACACATGCCCCACCAAAATATTACCATACCCCACCAGAGGGTCATGCGCTCACGTTGGAAATCATTGGCCTATAAAGAACTCGCATTGGATTGAAGGGGGCCACGGTGAGAAACATTGGTCTAGTGGTTACGCATTTAAGCTTTGTAGTAAAGTAGGGTGAGTATGACGTCATGAGTAATAGCAGTAATCACAGCGTAGTGATTCTTCTATCCAATAATGTTATGTTGTTGGTTCCATTTAACACAAATTTGAACCATCCTTTCGTTTTTACTAGAAACAAGGAGGGTAGTTCTCCAAAGATTAAGATAACGATAACAAAGAGTTGCTGTTTTAAGAAAAATGAGTTTTCTGAAAAATTTGTGAAAACTAAAACAAAAAAGACGAATACAGTAATAAATAGGCAAAAATGCTACGAGAGACGACAGAATACCGAGATCAGTTGTAATATTTACTCTACAAACTCTGACCTGACTTTTCTGTCAGTTTATGTAAAATATGACAATAGTAATTATTGTTTTATGTAAAAACGATGAAAAGAATGTCGTGAAAATATAGTAAAATTGATTTGTAATTACATGTACATGATTCATTTTCAAAGTTGGTTCAAATAAAAATTGAGATAGATCAAATGCAGATTCAGTATTAAAAGTAGAAGCGTTTATTTTCAAAATGTTTTGTGGTTCGGTTATACGATTCCCAACTAGTTTCGAACGTGAGTAACGTCGGTGTTTCAAATTGGGAATAAAACGCTGTCTCCTGAAATACCCACAACATGTGTAAGCAAACGAAAAGCAAACAAGTGAATCCACACGAAAAACTATTTTTATAACAACAACAAGATTTATATTTATGTATGTAATGATTTACAAGCACATTTAATAGGTGTTACTTCTCTTTGACTGGAATTAAAGTCTTTACTAAGGAAATATTTTTATCTGAGCTCATAAAAAGTTGAATGAACTTGCCACTTAAAATGTTCACTGTGAGAGAGATGGAAGAATTTTGTAAAGCTGAGAATATGTTGATAAACCTTTAGCTTCAGAAGAGTTGAAGGAATGTTCCGCAATGTTTAATTAGTTTCCGTTGCTTGTAGTTGAATATTCGTAATATGTTGATGCTTGTAATGTTCGTAATTAAGCTTCCGTGCGTACTTGTATGTGTGCGTATATGTTTTCATAGCGTCCGCCCGAAAGAGGTCGGAACGCGATTTCTTAAAAAGCTACATTTTATTAAGCGAGAGAAATCAAAAAGAGGAAGAAAGAACTTGTGTCACAGTATTTATAACAAACGTAATCACGTGAATGGCTCAGAAAGGCATAGACAGATTTTGGCGGAATTGTATTTTTGTTCAGGTCAGAATTAAGTCGATGTTATTCGAACGTAGTTGAGAACATGATTTAAATATTAACTGACCAATGTGAAGTAAGAAAAATTATCAAAGCTCTGTGATCCACCTTGTGCACAGATTTTTGTAGTCGAAAACAAGTGGTAGCAGAATGCTATAAGTGTAAGAAACGGCAAGAACCAATACATATATACAAACAAAATTTAATGTGTTAACAACAAAGGTAAACAAGCGAGAAGACAATAATGTGTTGTGACGGATGCAGATATAGCCCAAACACACATAGACGCATATATTAAAGTTAATCTCCGCCTGACAACAGAAGAGATCACGTGGAAGTCTAGAGACATTTTGGGAAAGCAAGTCAAGAGGTTGACTGACCCAATTATCCGTAGCAACAGACGTCTAGACAGAATCTAGACAGTGGACCGACGTAAGGTCATGAAGCAGCAGAAACTGGAATTCGCGCCAAAACGCAGGACACGTGGGAATTAGAAAAGTTACTTGAAAGTCAGTTGCTGTCTTGTTTTTGAAGAAGCAAGACTCGAAATCGAAGCGCAGATAACTTATGAACGGAAAGATAAGAATCATTTTGGTAATGATGGAACTTGTCCGATTCATCCCAGGCAACTCCGGATAAGAAATATAAGGAATGTATTTCTGTTCGTTAACTCCAAAATGAAGAAGGTAAATCGAGATATTTATCAAAGAAGACGCGAGGAAATTTGTATGCTGAGAATACAACCTGCGTTTGAAGAAAGATAAGGAGAAAACCAGAGAGAGAGAGAGAGAGAGAGAGAGAGAGAGAGAGTATATATCTCTGTTGCAAGCTGAATTGTGTAACGAAGAAGAAAGAAAGAGAAAACCACAGAGAGGAAGAAAGTATATATCTCTGTTGCAAGCTGAATTGTGTAACGAAGAAGAAAGAAAGAAAGAAAGAAAGAAAGAAAGAGAAAACCACAGAGAGGGAGAAAGTGTATATAGCCGGATCGTGTGTGAAATTGGATTTGTATAAAGAAAAAGAAAGAAAGAAAAGAGGAAACGTGAGAGAGAAAAGAAAGGACAACGAGTAAAAGAGAGAACTGAATATAAAGATAAGTAACTATATATTTTGGACCCGTGTTAGAGGGATACACATGCATCCATAAATATTATGTTCTTACAAACACCTTTCCACATGTCAAAATAATATGTAAATCCTATTCCATCTCTTTTGGTTATGCGTTGATTTCTGCATTCGTAGTTATTCATACTTATTTTTATCCGTTCGGGTTCAGTTGAATCTACTTGGATTTAGACATATTTTAGGTATCCCAACATAAGTCTTGAGATCTGGTCGTCGGATGTTTACTCATGCTTATATTTTTCTTTTATTTTAATATTTTGAATATATGTACATATTAAAATTGTTATACCAAAATTCATTACGCCTTATCGTTCGTCCTTGAATTGTGGATCAGTATTCGTGTTGAACTGAAGCGAACCTGGGAAAAGATTACTGTTCGATTATCCTAATCGAACAGTATTCTTTAAAATATTTTTGTTTACTAATTGTTCATTTGTCATGATCTGGGAGAGATAGTCCGTATCTCTCCACAGATGTGATAATGCATTATCTCCCGGTCGGCGTGTAATCGCATTATAACCTATTCGTCGACTATGGCATATGACAGTGTGTAACAAATGAATGTGAAAACTGTTTTGGTCCAAAGTATGTGTAGTGAGTGAATGTGCGTACGTACATGTGTGTGCGTGTATTGTTCATGTGTTTCCCAAAGAGAACGCGTTTTCCGCAAGAGGTTACACGTTGATGAATAAGCGGATAAGGTGAAAAGACGACGAGAAAGATATCGCAGAATATTTATAGTCCTGAGAGTGTCACCTAGTAGCGTTTTTGAAAATTAGGACAAATCCGACAAATGCCCTATGAGATTCTTATATGTCGGCAAAGACATAATCGATTGCAAATTCCAAGCCCGTTTTTTAATTGTTTTGACGTCTCTTTCTTTGCTGCAGTTGAAACTGGTTGGATGAAAATTGTCAATTTATGCGCTCAGGATTCATAAAAAAATGGTGTAATTTGAAAGGAATTTAGAACGTTCCGACCGCTCTCTATTCTCCTCTTATATTTCTGGGATCTGATTTAGTGCCATCCTATCAGAAAACTAATTCAGTAATTTACGTAAATGTCAATAAAATAACGGGAATAGGGAATTTATAAATGCTTGTAATTCACATTCGAAAAGTATTCTAAAGTGTTTTTTTTTTCTGCTATCCAGGTAACGATGGTTGTGAGTATAAAGGAGGAATGTATTTAAAAAGACAACGATTCCTAGACGATTGCAATTATTGTATTTGCTTTGGTAATAATATGACAGTATGTACTCGAATGAAATGTTCCCCAAAAGGTAAATAACATTGCATTTTTCCTTTTTAAATCAAGAATGAAGGTAAGTCTAAAATGTGCTTTTAGTTCATTAATATTAAATTAAAATCATGAATCGTTTGTAGTTTAGTTACTTCAATAATATTTATTCGCATCATGTTTTTAAAAACATCAAGCGAGATTATAAGAGTTTCTTATATTGGAAAACAGGTGTACAAGGGTTTTTGCATCATATTTTATTACTTGTGTGATTTTGTGTTGTAAATATTAAAACATAAGTTCGTGTATCGTTTAAAAACCGTGAAAATTAGCTGCCTTTTCAAAGAAAACAAAGAATAGGTATCACAGAAACATCATAAATTTAATTTGTATTCATTTTCTTTTTATTTATAAAGTATGTTTCCATGTTTCGTCCATTACTTCATTTTATATCCACTTCAGGGTATTCATTTTAATGGCGGGAATTTGGGGCGGGAATCGCCTTAGACAAGTTAACCCCCCCCCCAAAAAAAAACCCAGGTGTGTACGATTTAAAGCATTTTTTATTATATGTCCAACGGAATGGGACGGAGACAGGAATAATGACAAAGAAAGGAAGGATTTATTGAGAGAGAAAAGGAGAAGAGATAACGTCAAATATCTTATCCTGAGTATTTTGAATGGCGCAAACGAAAAAACACAAGAAAATTCTTACGCCGAAGTGGAGCTTTCAGATAAACAATCATTTATTAGAATGACAAAAGCTTTTTTTACAATTTACAAATTGTACAAAAAAGCCTTGTACAACGTTTCTCTTGTGCTCTTCGAATTATCAAAGAAGGGTAACACTTCTTTGAAATACAAATCAGTTTTCGCTAAGAAAACTAAAGTTCAGGTAAAGGAGATATTTTCCTTACCAACAAAGTGATTTTAACAACTTTCTTGTAGAGTAACAATTTATATAAACCAATTTTTGAGCAATAAAAAACTTTATTTACTTCGAAAGTCCACATTTCAAAATCTCACTGGTTCAAAGGTTGAAAGTTGAATGTGAAAGTTGGAGTTCGAAGGTAGGGTAAGGAAAGGTTGGACTACCTTGGTGAAGCTGCTTTTCTGGATCCTTCTGACAAATGTTCAAATTTTTTAAACAAGCGTCCTCAAATTTGAGATAAACTCTCACAAGTTTATGAAAGTCATTGGTATTATGAAATTTTAGAAGAAGCTGCTTCTTCCATCTTCGTCTTTTATCACCTCAGGTCACCGCTTGATTTATTTCTTTTCTTATTAGCAGCAGATTTTAAACGCCGAGACGATCAAATCATTGTGTCTGATGACAGCCTTTCGTCTGAGTAGCGTAATCCTAAGTCGCGTCTATTTTCAGTTCAAATTTAGCTGGGTTTCGAAAACATCAAAGCCTGACCCATCCTGTAAAAATTTTGCAACAGAGAGTTTAAATTGTCTAGCTTCACTTCGGCGGGTTTTAATAACATCAATTTGGATCCTATTCTTTTTCTTCTTTGCATCGTTACGCATCAGTTTTCATTCATGTTTTATATAGATAGATAGATAGATAGATAGATAGATAGATAGATCGTCTGGCTTCATTTTTGTGTGTGTGTTTTTTTAAAGAACCCGTGTTAGTAATATTCTAATTTTTTTAATTAGTTTTTAACAGAATTCAATATTAACATTTTTATTAAAATAGTTTCGTTATTAATTTTTTACACAATTCCAAAACTTTAACTATTTTTCTCATACAATTTTAATGTTTTTATTAAAATAATTTTTATATTAGTTATTTTATATCATCGTCAAAATATTATCAGTAATTAACATTTACTGCAGTTTAAAACAAAGCAGGTTAAAATGAAATTGAAATGAATTGGAGTAAATTCAAATGAACCGAGTGAAAATGTTCATTTGGAAAATGTTTGTGTGCGCATGCGTGTTAGTTTGATGTAATAAATATTGAGCCGTTTTCTGTTATATAAAGGACCCACCCAAAATTGCTCGGCCAACGGAAGAACATATAAATATGGAAGTCGCTTCAGAATTGATTGTAACATTTGTTTTTGTGGAAATAATGGGACTGTTTCCTGTACAAAACGGATATGTTTAACTCAGGGTGAGTGTTTTTTTACTTTTTTCACATTGTGTGTGTCGTGAGTTAGATTATCTCGGAACGTGAAGTATAGCCACTCACTGGTTTGTAATTTTAGTTAGGTTTGTCTTTTCATTCTCCTTCCCACTCCCTGCCATCCCTTTATTCAAACTTGTTAGGCAGGTTACTCGTCGTTTCCTGCTGCTCCTCTTGAATATGTCCTCTGAATATCAAATTCTCCAAACCCTCTTTCCTCATTAGGTGTCTCCAATTACTTGTCGTAAATACTATACTCTTCTTGTTTTCTTTTATATCTCAAGGATCCAACCAAACTTGCTCGGCCAATGGAAGAACATACAAATATGGAAGTCACTTCTGGATTGATTGTAACCGTTGTTTTTGTGGAAACAATGGGACTGTTGGCTGTACACAACGAATGTGTTTTAATCGAAGTGAGTGTTTTCTTGATTTTCTCTCACAAAGTCTGCCTTTGTTAGAATGCTGCCTCGATTTGGCCAGAAAAAATGCCTTGTAGCTGTCGCAGAAGATATGTTAGTCTTTTATAAAAAAATAAAGGGAAAAGTTTAGTATACAAAAAAAATCTAACGAAAGAAAAAAGTTAGAATATATATATAATGGACAGTTTGTATTTGAAACTTACGACCCATTTTTATTTATCAAACTGTTGCGGAGATGGAAATTGGTAACCTGCATGACAGAACCTTGTAGTTGTTGCTACTGTTAATTCCTTCCCGGCCTTGGCAAACGTAAATCCGAGCGTCAAACAAAAGAAAACATTAAGTATGGGTAAATAAATGTATAATCTATTTACATATATACAGAACTAGTAACTTCTTTCTGTTGCTGTTGCTAAAGGCAACAGGAAGAGAGAGTGGTGAAATTAGAAGTGAAATGGACATTGGTGGTGTCCGTCGCCGTCGGTAGCGTTTCTTTCTTAGCGCGTCGGTGTTGATATCAAACACTGGTCTGTTTTGGGTGTATTTGAATATATATACACGGCAATTAGCTCAAAATTAAGATTTTTGTTTTTTGGCGGGATTGGCTCTGAATAACTCATTTTATTTTGGTTAAAGCGGATGTATGTGTGGAGCCAATGCCCAGAAAATGTATTTACGCAGTCTGCTTTGGTTCGTCGTGCGATCAACATCCGGTTTGTGTAGAAACACGTTAGAAGCGCGACAAAACAGTGTATATTATCTTTTATTGGTCTGCGAATTTAAGAAATCTTAATAAAGTAACCTTTGAATATACATAATACCGATTAATAAAAATGTCGGATTAAAATAAATCCATTAACTCCTCTGTCTGTGTGTGTATATATATATATATATATATTACTGACCGAACACACGACTGGGGGGGGTGCTGATTACATTTATATACGTTACAAATTAAGCTAAGCACAACTGGCTATCAAAGGAGTAAAGATTTTTGCGGATTTTGACGTCATTCTGGAGTCTTTTTCGTCCCAATCCGTGCATTTGTTTTGCTCATGCAAAGTCTCGTAAAACATTATATAAAATTCATTATATTTATCCATAATGTTGAATCTGTTAAATTATTCAACATTTCAACTCGAAAATCTCAAGTTGATGTTAAAAATTGCCGCTAACATCGTTGATTATGACATGTTTCTAATACAATGTTTCTAAATAGATACATTGTATTTATTTTCAATTTTTCTAGTTGAACTATTCAATTGTATTGCATATAATCCATTATTGTATATAATTAAGTTACAATAAAATTTGTATTTTTTTATAAATATTACTGTATGAAAATTGAGATGTAGTAGAGTGGGGGCGTATCAAAGATTTGTTGGGTGGGTGACATGAGAACCTTGCACCAGTTCTATATGTGGACACTGAGCCGCCTGTCATTTTCATGCTTGAAATAGATATTGAGTACGTATATTTTTATAATATATGTATATACAAATGAGAGAATCATAGTATTGAAATATGAAAGCTTTTATTAAAAATGTTTTTATTATAATCTCTTATAAAAATAAAATAATATATATATATATATATATATATATATATATATATATATATATATATATATATATATATATTATGAAATGGACAAAGTCCGACAATTATTTTATGACATTTTTATGTTTATACATTCTTTTATAGATACAAATATTTAAGTAAATGCTCTGTTTTATAATAAACATATTAAACAACATTTACCGACTTGATCCGAGAGATTTTCATAGAAAAATTATTTTCTCGGGCATTCAGTTTTTAGATAAATAAATTTGAATAGTTAGTATTACGTGTTGTTTGTTCGTGTAAATATTTGCGTAAATAACTTTAGGTGAAAAACAATGATTTTGATGAAATAACGTGATGAATTCGAAAGTGTTGATTGGCTTGTAGTGATTACTACTATGTTTGCCACGCCTACATTTTTCTCAACTGTGATTGGTTAAATAATAAATACTAAATATTACAGGACAATTTACTAATCGCATTCACCACACTGAATTTTTCCTACCGTTAATTCACAAACATGCTTTTGATATAAAATCACCGATTGGTTAATTTTTAATCCAATCAGATATTTTTTGTGTTCTTTCAAAATTTGTCCCGCGTTCGTGCTGGGAGCCTACCGATGATAATAAAAGCCCAGATTCGTTCCAAAATTAGACAGTAGAAGACAGTAGAACTCAACAACTCACACATGTCTACTCAGACTGTTCATTCTACTCACTGCGCACACACAGAACTTGAATATCATTCACCATCAGTTCTCTGTGGACAAGCCAAGTTGCAACAGCACTGTTAGTTATACAATAACACACAACTGAATTTACTGTATGTTCTTCTGAATTCGCATTCTATTTCAATACAGAACTTTGAACATTCTATTCAGAAAACTTGCTTTATTACATTTTACCTTATTCAACTAACAGGTAAAGGGAAACTACTTTTTTCTCCTTATTCACACATTACAAAAATTGCTTTGTACTTGTTGATTTTAATATATATTTTATCGTTGAAACAAAAATCGGTTTTCCATTGTTTTTCCTTAATTTAAAAAATGTATAAATGTTAAATGCTCTTCAACACGCAGCCACATTAATCTTTTCAACACAACCAGCATTTACAGGCTTACGTATGACCACCGAAGTTAAGCAACGTCGAACCTGGTCAGTATCGAGATGGGTGACCGATTGGGAATAACAAGTGCTGTAAGCTTGGGAGTGGTGTAATGCTTAATGACTCGGAATTGAAACTGTTCTCCGAGTTCCAATTCCAGTTGGGTTCGTTCTATTAACTTTGGGAAACGGTATGAATCCACCTCTTCTCCACCCATTTGTTAGGGCTCTTCAAAAAAATTCTTACACTCTAAAAATATTTTCTGGATTTAAATAACTAAATAAAAAAAAAAATATCAATCAATCAGAAATCTCGATAAGTTCCATTCTAATGTGTCATTTTTTATTTTTTCGACTTGTTATCCAGGCCGAAGCAGATCTGATGGTTGTGTGCATAAAGGGCAAATATACCGAAAGGGGCAACGATTTCTAGACGATTGCAATTCCTGTACCTGCCTTGGTAAAAATATCACAAAATGTAGTCGAATGAGTTGTCCGCCAACAGGTAAATATCAAAATTTTCATTATGAATGAAGATCATTCTAAAAAAAGTCCTCGCAGTTTATTAATATTCAATTTAAAACTATGAATCCATTAACGATTCCGTGAGGATCATACTGAACAAAGAAAAGGTTCAGCTGAAGGAATCAGCCATCAGTTTCATGAAGCAACTTCTAAACCCGTCACAGCCAACTACCAGACCCTGCTAAAATTGATGCAGTTGTTGCAGGGGTGTAGGTTATTAGGAAAAATATCAAAAGGTATTATTTGTGTTGGCTGCGTGAAAATAAACTTCTCCACAAACATTTGAACTTTGTGTATAGCACAAGGCTATCAAATCCAAAATATGTTTTATTTTGTTGGGATTGCTATGAGTTTGAATTTGTTATCAGAAGGTTTTTATGGTTAGTTTATGGGTATGTTCACCATATTAATCCACAACAATATAGAATATAGACATTCAAAAACGAATCAATCACGAGACAATTGAGTAAGAAATACCGATTATGAGATTTCAATAAAGCAACATGCATTTATGTACAATTAATGTACAATTTGAAAACGTAGTTTGATAATGCAAGAAATTGACCATTGATAAATTGGGTTTCTTATTGATTTACAGTTCAAAATTGTTCAAGAACTGGTATAAACATAGGAAATGGAAGATAAAATTTATACACGAAATTTGAATAAGTTTGTATGCGTGAATAAAATGGGAGTTTACTCTTTGGTCTAAATTTTAGACAGAGTTGTTTACTTTGGATTGTTTAGATATTTGATTGAAATTTAACAAAAACAGTTAGGGGTAATGAGTTGTTATACCGCTTTTAGAAGCGATTATGAAGGTTGAAATTGTTTCCTCGAGAAGAGAAGAAATGACTTTCGAAGAAATGTGTTGAGTCAGAGAAAGGGAAACATGAGGCAAAAAGAAAAGCTTTTATGATTTTGAAAGGACCAAGTTTATTCGTGAAGCAGGAACGGATGAAGGATGAAATTATTTACACCGGTCAATCGATGCGAGTAAATACTTTGAATTTTTGTTCTGGAACAGGCGAGCAGAAACGGAAGAAAATTAATCCAACTAAGATTAATTGAAATATCATAATTCGGCACATAGATAATTTGGAACAGTTACAACTTTTGAGCCTTTGAATATGTGTATAGAATTCACTGGAACAAGGAATAATACATTACAACCAAAATAAAAATAAATTTTGTGAAACAAGAGTGAATTATTCCGGTACAAACAAAAAGAAAAAATGTGCGTACTATTCCAAAAATTCATGAAATGAAAAAAAAAAAAACAGCCTTTTGTTCAAATGTTTAAAAAAAATTTCAAAATTATGCAAAAACAAAAATGTGGCACAAGGATGAAAAAGACAGATTTTTAATGTAAAAAAGGATAATATACAAAATACTGGATCTAAGAATCCTATACAAAAATAATCTGAAAATCAACGACTGTATTTCGAAATGCAAATCGACACAATTTGCACGATATTCCCAGAAATTTGTGGGAAAAATGGGAAAACCGTTTTAAAAAAAAACCAATCCTTCAGTTTGATGGCTCGATAATACAATTATGGGTCCTTTGAAGGTTCAATAGAAACGCGAAAAAATGAAATAAAATATTTACAAATTGAAAAACTTATGGACTCTATGATGAATGATGTGTTAAAAATAAATGAACAACAAAGTTGATTTTGAGATAGAAACAGAAAAAACAAAAATTAAAAAATGAATTTACTCCTGAAATTTAAAGAAGATGTTTCCCCTCCTACTACAAAGAAGAGAAAAATACCAGTGCATTTATTACCATTTAATTAAAGTACGAAACCTAATAAATAGAACCTGACCCGGATATAAGGGAAACCCGGATAAAAAAAGATTGACCTGAGAATTGGTGGAGATTATAAATTAGAGAACCTGTGCTGACTGTAAATTCAAAATAGACCAAACCTGGAATATTTTAAGAGAAACCCGGATATAAGAAAATTTTAAAGAAGTGACGACCCGACAACCTTATATCCGGGTTAATGCCGTATGGCATAAAAAAGCAAGTGAGTTATTCAAAAACTATTGAAAAAGTAATTTAAGAAAATATTTTTATCAAGACTGAATTTAAATGAAAATGATTTCAGTGAGAGAGACGCTGGTATGAAATAAATACAAAAAATCTCAATGAAAGAAAATGTTTTTGGTTACTCAATATAAAAAAAGGAGGCACTGTCATAGTGTGGACAACGCATAGAGCAAGACAGTTCGTATGGGGAAAAAATTTCAATGAAAAATAACATAGACCACTTAAATTTTTCAACCCAAGAAAAGAGCTATGAAAGTTACAACGTCCAGAATATTACGTTGGGCAATTAGACTGATGGCGTTCGAATTTGACATTGAAATAAAGGGAATACGATACCGCACGTTGATTTTCTAGATTGAGGTTTTATAGCTGGAGGAAAAACGACGAGGAATTTGAAGAACGTTGCATTCTAGAAAGATGTAATATCTTTGTTGCTGAAAGAAAATGACCCAGTGTTAAATAGAATAATGTTGAATAAAAAGTTTCTATGGGGAAATTGTTCAATGGCTGAAAGACCATTCAAAGAAATCAGACATAAAATGACTTAGAAAACGGATAATATGTAATGGAGTTGGTACGTCCCCGAAACACGTGTGTTATGTGTGTGTGATGAGAGAGAGAGAGAGCAAAGAAGATTAAAATGGAAGCGTCTTCCAAGAACGGGCAGACGTAAAAATCAAAAAAAAACTAGGAATTTTTAAGCAAAAGAAAATACAGTATGGCCCCGAGAAGCAAAAGAAGTACACATGGACCATGCCTATGAAAATGGGATGTCCAAATATTTATAAGGTTGGCTGTATGTCATGCCTGATAAAAAAAGTACTCGTAAAACAAATATAAAAGTAATATTTTAAATGGGTGGAACGTAGACAAACGCACCAGAATTTAGCATTTTAATTGACCATTCAGGCAGTCCTTTGGTTTACCACCCTTATACAAAAATTGATGTCGAAGGGAAGCATGGTAGCAAGAAAGGAGAATCGATGCTTTCCTACCAAGATTACTAGTTAAGTTACTAAACTGCTACCGCCTACTTCAGTATAGGGTGGACAGTGCCTCTGTGGAACTATAAATTAATTTGCAATATTTCTACCACAACTATATACTGGCATATAGCAGATCCGACGATTGAGGTGTAAATATGTTCAATGGGGATATAGAGTCTTGTGTATCAGAAGAGTTAACGAGAACAACTTTGCAGAAAAAGAAACTGTAGAAGAGGAAGACCAGAGTTTACGAGTTATTGAATTAGGAACACGCGCTGTGTATTCCTGCTAGAAGAAGGATAAAAGGCGAGATGTTGGAGGAGGGGGCGATATGAAACCACGGCCCGAGGCCCCCCGTTATCGGAAAGGATATGCAAATTGTATAATTTGCATATGAGCAGGTAGCTCATAAATGGACACCAACGAGAACGGGTGGAATAAGAAGGCCCGACATAACGTTTTTTCAATTAAGACATTAAATCTGACAGAAAGGTTTGATGCGTGAATAAAATGGACAACATAACGATTGGATATATTGAATATTTTAATGTTAAGTGAGTTTTCACTTTTTATATAAAGAAAAAGACAGTGGGGTATATTGGTCAGCGAATCGCAAAAATGGTAATGGTGGTCTGACTGGTCGTTTGTCGTCGGTTGAAAGTTAAGCCCTCAATGCCGACGTTCCGGTAGTGTCGACGGTTGAAGCTCAAAGGTGCGAAGACGTTCCGGTGAGTGTCGACATTTTGAAGTCAAGGTGCAGACGTTCCGGTCGTGTCGACGGTTGGATATGTTCAGCATTCTTTCGATCTGTAATGAAAGGCTTATGCAAATCCACATAGCAACAGATCAAGATGAAGTATGTGATCAGCTCAAGAAAACGATATTAGAAAGTTTCCCGCTCGATAAAGCAAATCTTCCAGCTACACTGCTCCCATATTTTCATTTACGTGATGAGATGTCCGCTCCAGATGGTCTCATATTTAAAAGTAATCGTGTACACATTCTTCTCGGTTTGTGGAGTGATATCAAACGTGTAATCCACTCATCGTAAATAGATATTGATGAATGACTATGGTACATTAGGAAATGTGTTTTCTAGCCAGGCATATCATCAGACATACGGATATGAGTACTCTGTCCCAAATTAGAGCCTTGTTAATGTTCACAACAGTGCAAACCCGGATAAAAGTCACACTAATGTCACATGATATGATCATCCATAAATGACTGGCGTTGACTTGTTTGAGCTTGATAACGTCATGAAATAACTCAATGAAAAAATTTAGACAAAAAAAAGGAGTTGGGCTGAGAAAAAAATAAATTTGGAAAAGTCTTCATTTATAAAGGATTGTGTTTGGTAGTAAAAAAAGTTTTTATTTTAAAAAGTGTAAAATGGTTTGAGCAAAAACAGATATATATTTAAAAAAGATGAATAAAGAATTTGGGGAAAGTTGAAAAAACTTTTCCAGAAGAAAGGATTTCGCTGGTGAAAAACTGATAAAAAAAACATTGAAGAAAACATAAGTTGAACCATTTTGGGTTGAAGGATTGAAAAGTTAAAAATACATTTAGAAAGTATAAAGGGTTTGGGTTAGTAAAAACTAAAATTCATTTAGAAAGTTTAAAATGTTTTGGCAAAAACAAAATTATATTTAGAATGTATAAAGGATTTGGGCTAGTAAAAAATATATTGAGGAACTATAAAGTATTTGAGCAAGTAAGACCAACAAACATTTAGAAAGTATAAATGGTTTGGGTAAGTAAAAACAAAAATACATTTAGAAAGTATAAATAATTTGGGCAAGAACAAAAATGCATGTTGAAAGTATAAAGGGTAAATGGTTTCAGCAGTAAAAAACAAAAATACATTTAGAAAGTATAAAGAACTTGTTGAAAGTATAAAGGGTCTGGGTTTCAGCAACAACGAAAATACAT